CAGCAGGAACCTTCTGATGACACTGAGTTTCCCACTGCCTTCTTGGTTTTTGGCTGGTTTTTTGTCTTCTCTTCTGGACAGAAATGCCAACATGGGATGATCCTAACTGATCATCCCATTGATTTTGACTGACATTCAGAACAATGCTTCATCTCCCTCCAAGACCGTAAGCATCTGTAAGTGTCCTACTCATTAACAAACCCTCCAGCAGATGCAAAGCATCCCTTGGAAACCGCAGTGAGAGCTGCACACATGCTTAGGTGCTCCACTGAACTGGGGCCTCTCTAAACAAGAAGAGACCATTAGTTTTGGCTCATTAACTTAACTGAGATGACGATTAAACCACCCCTCCCGCCACTTTCTGTAAAATAAACTTAGAAATGAGCCATCTTTACAGCTGTGACTAGTAATAAATCCAATTAATTTCCATGTCTTTAGTGTTAATATATGCATTAGACGTGTCAGCTCTGCCTTTTTGTTTTCTTCAATGAAAAGCTTGTCTCAGAGATTCCCTTCTAATTAGAACAGGAACTTGCTCCTTTGTGGATATATTCCTCCAGGAAGTCACTTACTGAGATGCAGCACCTTTAGTCCCAGGGAATGGTGCTACTGTTTGTTGCTTTTTTGCTCCTTCTTTTTTTAAATGCATGTGGCAATTAGTATCACAACAAATTCATATTTCCCCTCCTAATTTTAGCGTTAAGGAAAAAAAGCTCCACTTTGTCCTGTGAAAATAACACCAAACAAAGCAGAAACCAAAAGCACAGATGCACTTCCCTTTGAAATCTGCATAGTAATTACTGTTTACCTTCCTTCCTCCTCCATTGATGACTCCAATACAAAAGGTACAGTAAGCAGCTGTGTGGGATTCATGGTCAGATCCATTAGCAGAATCAAGTATTTTGTCTGAGTGCAAGTCTCATGCCAGTCGTTTAAGTCTGCATAACAAGCTGAGAGGAAAACCACACAGGTCACGGCTCTGTAGAAAAGTCTTTTAGAAAGTATTGCTGGTAGTGCTCTTGATTACAGGGAGATCAGAGCCCCAGCGCAGATGGAGGGTCAAAGTGCACAGGCTCCAGTGCAGTCTTTGAAAGCTTATCAGCCCTTGTACTCCAGAAACTGCCCATAGGTACCTCGTATCTGCATGTCAAAGAGCGCAGCCCACTCAAAATGGGAGTCCAAGACTGCTGGTGCAGACCTCAAGGCACTGTGTGCTCTGTAGTTAGAAGAAGCTGGAACCTTAGTCCTGTGCAGAAGTAACTTTTAATTGTACCACATCCAAGAGAAAATTATCCCAGAAACCAAATTTACATGAACAAACTCTGCTACCAACCTCCTTTCCTCCTTGCTGCCCCACAACTAACGTTCCCTCTCCACCTTCTCTAACTAATGCAAACTCACAGCTTCACTTTCTGAGATTTCCCAGAGCACTGTGGATGCTTTTCTTTCTGCCTATCTCCTGCGTTACATCCAGGAATGGCTATTTCTCCTTGCAAATGTTATCTATGTTTGAAGCCTCCTCCCCACGGACAGAATCATAAGGTCTCTGATGAGGAACAGCAGGTCTTTGTTCATTCTCAATGCATGGCGCTATAAATCCTCTCAGGGTGACCAGGGAAACCAAAAGCTTGCTGCCCTCATAAATCTCCCAGGGTGGCTGCTGCAGCCACTGCGTGTTCTCTGAAGGCTGCAAGTTTCTGATGGTCTCTGCAGTTACAGGATAGAAAATGAGCCAGTCTATGTACTAAGGAACAAGAAAGAAAGATGCTTTTTGGTCACTTCAGTTAAAAATTCACCTGGATAAGCTTCTGGGGGTGGCTGGGAAAGACAAGGGAGTGTAACAGCCCTTGGTCCTTTTCCCCTCCTTCTTGTCTAAGCCAGTGTTGATCATCTGGATTTTGTGCATTAAGCAGGAAGTGGTGGCAAAACCCCTGCTGTGGTAAACCTGGGGTTGTGCCCACATTGAGGGTTGGTGCACCCTCTTGGAAATGACCTGTGATCTGGTGAGTGGTGGGAAGGCCTGAGCAGACCAGCACAATCCAGCCAGAACTCTTATAAGGGGGTTTATAAGGATGCTGGGGAGGGACTCTTCACTAGGGACTGTAGTGATAGGACAAGGGGTAATGGGTTAAAACTTAAACAGGGGAAGTTTAGATTGGATATAAGGAGGAAATTCTTTATTGTAAGGGTGGTGAGGCACTGGAATGAGTTGCCCAGGGAAGTCGTGAATGCTCCATCCCAGTCAGTGTTGAAGACCAGGTTGGACAGAGCATTGGGTGACATGGTTTAGTGTGAGGTGTCCCTGCCCATGGCAGGGGGGTTGGAACTTGATGATCTTAAGGCCCTTTCCCGCCCTAACTGTTCTATGATTCTATGATTCTGTGTGGCTTTTGGGATAGGTACATCCACTCCCCACCTTTTATCTTGTTCTGGCTTCAGGGCAGGACAAGAGATGATAGGGAATGGTCTACTGCAGAATGAGTAATAGCCAGGAGCCAAACTCTTGTTACTGTACCAACATTTGCTATCCTGTCCTTGCCAACACTGGGTCCCTCTCAAATACCTGTTAGTGCCTTCATACACCTGGTCCATGACAGATAAAGCTCTTCTTTCACCATGAGTGTACAGGGTGCTGTATTTGTCTCTTGCAATCATGGAATCATAGAATCATAGAATAGTGTTGGAAAGGACATTAAGATCATCAAGTTTCAACCCCCCTCATGGGAAGGGTCATGACACACTAAACCATGTCACCCAAGACTCAGCCCAACCTGGCCTTGTACAGTGTCAGGGACTGCAGCTGGCTAATTTCAAGCACTTGTTTCACCAGGATGTCACTCAGTTGCAAAGGCTGGGAAATCATCTGCTGAACCAGTGTGCCTTGTCATCACCACAGCAAATGCAGAGAGGTGTCTGACAGCACCACTTCCCAACAACAGAGCAGAGCCCAGCTGAGTGAGACGGGCTCTTGAAGTGCTGCTGGACTGCAAGGAGCTGTCGATTTTAATCTTTTTTCCTTCAGTTTTCCAAGTCTGATATTTCCCACGAGGAATCCCTGTTAAACTGTGTCATCCAGTGGTGTGAAGAAACCTGATCTTATGGCAGTAGTGCCAGATGGTGACTAGTAATGACTGTGCACATGCCAGCTCTGTTCTCATCTCTTTCTTATCTCTGGCAGTTCTCCCCATCCCTGCTTCCTGCTGGGTAAGGCGGGGTATTTACAGCAGCCTCTTTATCTGCCACCTAAATGAAGGATGCTGGGTGTCTCCAGCACATGTGCCCTTGTTCAGAGCAGGTATAGTGGAAAGACAATTAGCACGGCAGGTTTAAGACAGGTATTGCCCATAAGGCAGTTGTCATGCCTGCCTCATTACCAGTCTCATGTTTAGTCTTTGTGCCAGACTCCCCTTGAGTCTAGCTGCCTGAGGAAGACAAGAGCTGTTTCTCTGGGTGTCTGTCAGTTGTCAGCAGTGGTGGAAGGAAGTCCAAATGAACCAATCCCTCCCGCTGCTCTGACTTCCCTGGTGCTCTTGCTGCCGTGATCAGCAAGGAAGGGACTGTTGGTTCCCTGGGCCTTTTGCTGCTTGAAGTGACAGCCTCCTTATGGGCCTTATAGCCCTTGGCTAGGTGCTCCTTCCTTCTCATGTCTTTCTGGCAACCATTTAATAAGCAAACCCTCCAGTGCTGCTCTTCCCAGCAGGCCCACAGTGTGGCTATTTGAATTCTGCCTTTTTAACAAGATTCATTTTCTTCCTCCTCCAGGCAATTGATAATGCCTATGGGAGGGCTGTCGCCTCTTCCTGATGCCTTAGATGTCCGAGTACCACTTCCCCTGCTCGCCCAGACAACTGGCAGTCTATTTGCTATCTTTTTTCAGTCTCCCTGGAACAAGCCTGGCCTTTTATTTCGTAGCTTTATTCTGCTCTGCCAGCAGCCCTGGAGCTCCCTTTCTGAAGCAAGAGGGAAGAGTTGAGCTCCATGCGCTGATATGTGACTGGCACTGGGGTGAGATGGGAAGCATCCTCAGATTTGGCCACGTGGCCCAGGCGTTTTTGTCGTGGATTCTTTATTTCTTTGCCACTGTTCCTGATGCTTTGCTCTGGAGGATCTCAGTTTTTGTCATAAACAAATCAAAATTAAAAAAAAAAAAAAGGAAACAGGAGGTGTTGGAGGATGCAGTGATATTTGGAAATGTGCGCAAAACAATGTGGTGATGGAAGCTCACAACAGCAGCTTGGAGGCAGATCGAGGATCTCCCTCTTGGCTGTCAGTCACCTTCTTCAGCTGCTTCCCCATGTGGGCTCATAGCACTCTGGGCTCGCTCCCTTTGCACTTTCTCTCTGCAACTGCTAAGTGAATGCTATATGGCACTGTAATAATAATCAGCATCTGGGGATTTCACATAGCTCTGGGAGTTGGGCTACAGAGCTGAACCATGGTGGGTTTAAATTTTTGGAAGAGCAGCCAAATTGGAAGAGCTCTGCAAATCCTGCACAGTCCTAGGCTGAGCATCTGCAGGTGGTGAGTCAGATCCGCATCTCAGTTAGGTGGAGCTGGGGAAAGTATTATCAATTTAAACCTTGCACAGAAACATGGTTTAACAGCTCCCTGCCTGCAGTTCGATCTCTTTAATGAACATAAGCATAGATCAGAGTGAGGCGGAAGCTGAAAAACTGAGATCCCAATCCAAAACATGAATGTGCCAGCATTTGGGTGTGTAGGTCTGGAGCTGGAGTCTGACTCACTTGTAAATAGGGACACTTGGCAAAACATGGATCAAGGTTCAAATTCCTGTCCCTCCAAACCTGAATAAAGATTGAAGAAATTCTGGGAACTCAGTGTTTTGGTTCTGGGCCATCTACAAGGGGTGAAGTATGTGCTTAAGCGCTTTGTTGAATAGGAAGAGACTTGAGCATGTGCTTAACGTTATTAAGTGCTTAGCTGTTTTTTGTTGAATCAGGGCCGCTGGCTTTTAAAGTCAATACTAACCCCTTAGGCTGCATCTGAAAGGATTTGGAAAAGAAGTGGCATCCAGATACTGCTGGATGTTTGACTGCTCTGCATTCCTGCTTTGAAGGCTTGTTCCTCTGAACCTGCCCTCATTGCTATTCCAAATCAACTAAATGACTTGTCCCTGTCTACCAGGTGATTATGAAGCATGGGGAGTTATGGACATTTAACACATACTCTGGCACAACTCCTGGAGAAGTTCAGCTGTCCTGCAGTTTCCATCAGTGATCTTAAGGCAGCATAGCAGTACAGGATGTCAAAGTGTGATGCTGTTTTGCTGGCTCAACTGAAGAGGCACATTGCAGACCTTCTGATGTCCTCTTTTTGGCAGCTGCTGTGCTGCTCCTTGTAACCAGCTCCTCCTTGCTGTGAGAGCCCCTGAAGTCAGTTTGATTAAAAGGAAAGGGTGATCATGAGATGGCTCCCTGCGGATTGCAAGGGTTAGGAAGTGATCACAGGAACACAGCTGTCTGATCTGTCACCAACAGCAGGGAACAGAGTTGCTGCAGGCAGTGAACTTTTCAGCCAGCGTAAATGCTGCTGGGAAGGGGATGTCCCCGAAAGCCTGCAACAAGAGGATGGATATTAACCTCGCCCACTGAAATAGCATTAGTTTCACAAGAGCTGGAAATGGTAAGCAGCGCTTGAGAGAGATGAGACTCTGAAAGAAGTGGGGAAAATAGCAACTTTTCCTGCTTTACAGGTGAAAGATTGTCTGAGACCAGGATGAAAATAGATGGAAACCTTACGCACAGATGAAAGGCTTGAAATGAAATACATTATGCATGAGACTAGCAGTTGGAATCTGAGAGCCACTTGGAGGTAATCGTCTGAAAAGCAGGAACAGTTCTGGGCAACAATTTCAGCCTATTGCAGAGGCACCAAAATGGTTACCAGAAACCAGGTTTCCTTCTAAAGGAAAGACAAACTTAAAATCACAGGACTGGAGTGGGACTCTGCAGACAAACCAGCTGCAGCCCTCCCTCCCATGTGTCTTCTCCCGGGTCTGGAGGGACAGGCAGGCTGGCTGCTGAGTCGGTCTTGGGACAGGGCTGGCAGTGCTGTCCCATGACTACCAGTACCATATAAAAAAGAGGCTTTGATTTGCAATGATGACATCTTTTGAAACTAAATAACTTCCTCAGTGCTGCCTTGCTGTTGTAGGCTACTTTTCTTAAAGAACTAAATTAAATAAATGAATAAATGTTCCTGTCTGCACATCTGATGCTAATACCGGAAATGTTGATGCAAAGATGCAGCATGCCCTGAATCAACAGCTCAGCTGTGAGATTCAGATTAAAGTTTTGGGTCAATAATTTCTGGAAATCGAAATGCCATTCTTTTCTCTTGTAGGTTTTCAGATGCCTGGGTTGGTAGGAAATGTGTTCTTTCAGGAAAAAGCCTTCATTAAAGGAGTTCTTCATTAAAGAAGATTAAAAAGTAATATTTCTTCTTAAACCAACATTGATAAGAGGCTCAATACTCAAAAAAATGATGGGACAATGAAAACAGCAGAGATTCAGGTACCATTGCAGGTCAGTTTTCATTTGAATTTAAAGCCAGCTTTTCATGTGTGGCAGCGTCTCAGCTCAGGTTTTAGGTTAAGGCTCAGAGACTGACAGCAAGTCCCTCTGGAGCCCTATCTGTTCCAGTTCAGATCCTGCTGTTTATGTGTCGTGGGCTCCACGACTGCACAACTGACCTTCCAAGTTTTATGGGACTCACTGATGCAAAGCCTGGAGCCAGTGACACCTTCCTTCTTCAGGCACGTGCCTTAAGCAGCAAGAGGTCCGTGTTTGTTCTCCCTTTCTCCCTACCACAGTGGAAAGTGAATTATTTCAGGCAAAGAGATTTATGTTGCTTTTTTTGTTTTGTTTTGTTTTTTTTTTAGTGGCTCCTTGACCTGTTGTTATTATACACTAAGGAGACTCACTCCTGTTAACCTTCTGAGTATGGAAAACCAGCAGGGAGACAATGTGTGGAGATAAAGCTTAACATTTTAGGCTAAATTGTTAAATGCAAAATCAAGTTCTTAGATGCAAACGGGACGGTGAGATAGTGAAAGCAAAGTGATGCACTGAGGACCAATACAACCACAAGGTCTTTTGAGCCTTTTTTCTTTACATGTGATATCTCCTGGCTTAAAGGGAGAATCAAAAGGAATTGCAGCAAAAGTCATCGACAACAACTGCTTGCTGATGAGGGAGAAAGAAAGAAAAAAAACAAGATCAGAAAAAGTCACTTGGAGTAGTCCAGGTCTGACTTCATTTGAACAGCATCTGTGAGCCTGCAGAGGGAATGCAGTCCCCATCAGTCAGCATTAGAACATGATGTATTAGGTGATTTGCTAAAAAGCTGGTAAAGTTTCTTTATGTTGAACAATGAGGTGGGTAGCTTCAAGCTCTGCTTCTTGTCAGCTGTGAACATCATCAGCAATGCTGGTTTGTTTAAATCCATATTCCCCCTCCCCATGCTGTCCTTATCAGACCCTCTCTTATCCTTAAAACAGAGGTAAAAATGGACCTGATCTTGCCTTTCCACCTTTTCCATTCATTTCTCTCACAAGTCTTCTCTAATCTAGGAGCTTGAAGCAAGCCTGGCATCTCCTTTTCCAGTTTGACACCTGTCACAGGCAGTAGGCATTGCTGGAGCAGCACTGAGAGACCTTCGTGGGCTTGGGGCTCACCAGCCCCCCTGAGGTTCAGCATTGCTCTGTCTGCTTTGTCAAGCAGAAGAGGGTCTTTCATGGCCTTGAGGAACACCACACCTTTTAGGGCAGCACTGGGTGATTCAAAGTCATTCCTCTTCCTGATTCAACAGATGAGCTTCTGTCTGCAAAAACGAATGTCTTTGCATGGCTCAGAGTCTGACAGGAATGTCTGGAGAAGTTCTAATGTTGCTTCCTCACAAGCAGCTGTTATTTGCATCCTCTTCCATGGCCTCCTGCATGACTTCTTGTTTTTCAAACAGTCTATCCTTCCTTCCACGCTCCCCCTGGATGGAGCTTATTGCTGGAGGGTTTCCTGCTCTTGTCTCTTCATTCCTGTACATCTCTGCCTTATCAGTGTGCCAGAGCAACTGTTCATACTTAAAAGTGGATCACTGAAATATCTGGGTTAAGAAAAAGGAAAGAAAAGGTTATCTTTTTTTAACTCAAATCAGGGTAGCAATCAGTTTTCCAGCCACGGTCCCTGCACAGCTGATGGGGTGATGATCTGCATCAGAGGAAGAGCCAAATGTAGGAAATGCACAAACTAATAGTCAAAAGCAGGGAAAGGGACAGCATTGCTGTCCTCCCTGGTTCAGTGCATGTTACCCTCTTGCACATCAGATTGGGAGAGTTATTGTAGTGACCCCATAGGAAATATCTGTCCCTTCACCTGGCACATGGGCAGTGACACTGAGGGTGATGGAAAGTGGGACTGTGTCTTTTGATGGGAGACCACAGTCAGATGAGAGTAATGGGAAACTGGACCTTGAGGGACCTAATCAAGTTGTCAATGGTTTCTAATGTAGCAATCACATGCAATTGGGTGACATGGTTTAGTGTGAGGTGTCCCTGCCCATGGCATGGGGGTTGAAACTCGATGATCTTAAGGTCCTTTCCAACCCTAACTATTCTATGATTCTATGATTCACTGGCAGTTTTTGCCATAACAATACAAACATGGTAATGTTTTGACATGCTGGAATAGTGCTTGTCATCTGAATATTGTGAGGTTTTGTTAAAGATTCTATTCCACAGATAAGGAATTTGGCCTCTGAGTCTTATTGACAGCATGGAAATGTTCCAATGCTATATAAACACAAGGAAATAAATGTAGGCTGAAGAAGTCTGAGAAGAGTAAAATGCATCACAGGTATGCTGCAGTTACCTATCACCAGAGAAATTGGTTTTGTTTGACAAAAGATGGAAACACTGCCAGGATATTTTGTTTCAGTTTAGGTTATTTGCTAAATTGTTTGTGGTTAGTAATGAGCACAAGGTTCACTTGTAATAATAATGTAACCATGGTAATACAGTAACAAAAACCCAATGTCAGTCTGATTTGCTGATAAGATTTATACCCTATTATATTATCCAATGCAATTAAGAAATCCTTAGAAAATTAACATTAGAATAGATTAAAATAAAGTGTCAGAGGCATAGTGACAGCTGTGGGTCTTAACCATAGTCCCCAAGTGGATCTTTTGGGGTAACATATCACCCTTCCTCCAATGGGCTGTGTTACAATAAGCAAGGAAAGCAATTGCTTTCATTTTACAAACAGTGAACTGCAACGTTCCACAATTTCTGCAATTTCCTGCACTCATTTAAGTGTGACTGGTCAGAAATGAACCCAGGGGAAGTAACAAGTTAATTGGTCTCATTTAATCTAAAGTGATTTTAATAATCAGCAGAGTTGGGAGAAGGAAAAACAAATGTACGGATGGGAATATAGGGATTTGTTCCCTGTGGGAAGAGAATGAATGGTGAGATGGGGGTCAGAAACTCTTGCCCCTTAACTATGTATGTTGGATTCCCTTCCCATTATGCTAACCACTACTTTTTTAGGGCTCTTCTTACATCACCAGAGGCAGTCTTCTGCTCTTTCTTGTCTTGTAAGTTCCATGGGGCAGAAAGAATCTCTCTATTCCCTATGAATGAGTAGTGAAGGGAACAGAGTGTTTCCCACACCTAATAATATAATCATCAGAGTTGAGCCACGATAATCATAAAAGATGAGCCATTTCATAACCGCCTCTGTACCAGACAGAATTTCACCTCTCATAACATCCTAGCAACAGAGCTCCTCAATCATTGTCTCTTCTTTTTCCCTGCAGATAACTCCCTGCCTCCTCCCTTCCAATTTCTATGTTTGAGTTTAGGATGGGGAATCTGGGATTATTTGTTTTTAGAGAATTTCAGCTGATTACCCCAGTGAAGTAATAGCTTTACAAGGGAGTGTAAGAGCTGTTGCCACAAGCCAGGAGGGGAATGGAAGAGACTTAAACTCAGAGGTTTTAGACTCAGATACTTATTTATTTTTTCATGTCAGAGTCCTATTACGTAGCCCTTGCTAAGAGTTTAGAGTTGTTCGGTTTGCTGAGATAGGGGCCTCCACAGGTTGTCCAGTCATAGCTAATCTGGGCATTGGGACCTCCCTCTTATCTCACAGACAGGTTTTCACTAGGATGATCGACTGCAGTGTGACTGAGTCTTAGTCTCTTATTCCTTCTGTGCTTAAAATATGCTTTACTTGAAGATGATACCAAGCAGAAGCACCTTTTCTCCATATTCTCACCTTACTGTCCTCTTCTGGTTCTTTCATCTGTATTCCACCACCTATGGCCCGACTTTTTTCTTATGGATTCTTTATTTTGTTCTTTTCTGAGCAATGTCTTCCTGAGTAAATTAGAGAGACTGATTTTCTGATCATTCTCTTTGGTCTTTCTGCTGCCTTCAAACCCTGCTTTTCTGAGCTCTCTCTCCCTTGTCCCCATGACCTACACTGTGCTGAGCTGCATCCTGGTTCTGGAATAGTTTTCTGGAGCCCTCCCCTCACTCATGATGTCTTTGATCACACCTTGTTTTCCTTCTGTTATTCACATAATTTGACTTCTCTTGCTGGCTGCACTTGCATATCTTCTCCCATGCTGTCCAGCCACCTCATTCCTACTTCTTCTCTGGCACATTGTTACCCCTTCATCTATGGGGTTAAACCTGAGCTCCTTCAGATGCCCCTTCCCTTCCTCTTTGCTGATCCTAGGTGCACAGTGAGTCTGTTTCAGCCAAAGCTGCATTCTTCTCTCCATGTGAGGTAGGCAGTTGACTGTTTTGGCAGTTCCTGTGTTTCTTTTCCTTCCTGGAACTGATGCGCTGAAGGATGAACACAGAAATGTCATCAAGGAGTACAGGAGATGAGCAACATCTCATAGTCTTCAGAGTGGGAGAGATGACTTGGGAGGGAGGAACTGGACCAAAATCCATCACATGGTAAGTGGCAAAATAAATAAATCTCGACATTAAGGCAGATTTTTGTTGTTTTATTTTTGAAGCAACATCTACATTGCACAGTACACAGCAGCACAGAAACAGTTGAAATAGCTTTGCATAAATATTGCATGAAGCTTTGTGTACAAATGCATACAAGGCACAGAGGTACATGAAAATCTGGCTAAAAAGGGTGAAGGAAAAAGTGGGAGCTTTCTGCTTCCATACCTGGGGAGCTTCTAGTACCTGCTTGGGAATTTACCTCCACATTGCAACACCGCTTTCAGCATAAACATGTTGAGAAGGTGTTGTGTGCCAAGCTCCACACTGGAAAAAAAAGACTTAGAATAGGTTTTTAGGTCAACAGGGTGGCCATACGTTGTTGGGCAAGAGCTGAATCTATTTTTGGGCCTTTCATAGGCCCAGATACATATGATAAGTAAGGAGACAGTGGTTCAGTATGGGACTTGGGTTTTATTTCCAGTTTTGCTTAGCAACCTCCGTCATCTTTTGCCTTTGGAGCATCACTTGTCCTTTCAGTGTTTGTCAGCTCCTCCTGCGGCTGCAATTTCATGGTCTCTTGAATCTGGCAGGATGACATTGCTCCCCAGACAAGTGTCCCTGCCTTCTTGGGCTGCTTATTCCTATGATGCCTCTCTCCCCTCCCTATTTCTATGATGCCTCTCTCTCCTCCCTATTTCTGGCACATACATCTGCATCTCCACCCGCAGCTAGAAGAGCACAGCAGGCATGGATGTGCTGAGCAGTATGGCTCTGCCGAGGACCAGCCACCCATACTGCATGTATTTCAGAGGTGTTACTTTGGACTAGCTGTGCTCACAGACCTAATGTGGGAGGCTTTAGGTGTGCTCCCTTCTTCTCCTTTTGTTTTATCCCAGATAAATACAGTTAATTTGTTCTCAAATCCCTCTGCAAAGTGAATCACAGCAGGGTGAGCTGGAATGACCTAGAGAGTTGGTTCAAAAAGGCACTCCTAACCCAAACTAAAAATATTAACAGAGATGCACTGTGCTGACAGGGCTGTGTGGTGAACCAGCACTGGGAAGAGATCAAAAGCAAAAAAGCAATGGAGCTAGCTTTAGTTGCGACCATCCTCTGGGCTAATGCATGTGGCCTCATCTACATTTGGGCCAGTATTTGGGAGGGCCTGAGAGCTGGTTATAAATGGCAGGAGGAAAAGGGATCTCTTCTTTTTTGGAGAGTACATTGGTTTAGAAAGACTGTGAAATAATGATCTGTATCAGGTTCTTGGAACAAGGATCAACACCAACAACAGATAAAAGTAGGTGTAAGGCACACTGTATTGTCTACTGCAAACAGCATGGGAGTGGGGAGACAAATTTCATCTGAGACCTTTCAGGACCACAAACACTTCTAATCTTCTGAGGAATAGAGGGAGAATGGGGAAGAACATTTCATTGTGCTCATGTCAGTGAGAGCTGCTGTATGATGGACTCATATCTTTCCAAACAAACCCTGTATTGTGAAGGGCTCACTCAATGCTTTCTTCTTTCTCTTCCATTCTCTCCCCATCAGAACATCCCTGCAGTTCAGCTTTAGCTCTATTTTGATACTAACATTTTTCTGTTTTTCTTTGGCATCTGTGTATCCTCCTGCCCTCTTTTCCAATTGAAAGCCTAATTGCAGATCCCCTGCTGCAGTTAGTGTACATGCTGTACGAAGTTCACTTCATTTATGGCTTTTTTGGCTAGTCGACTCAAGCAGGCTTTGAAGCAACACCTTGCTAGTATGTTAATCCTTATGCCTTCGCCACGGTCAGCACCCTGGTGCAAGGACTGCCATGTTCTCCTCTGCTTCCACTTTTCCCTGTTCTCTCCTTACACCCTTACCCCTTCATGCCGGACTTTCCCCCCCCGCCCCGCCCCATTATTTATGGCCCCGTTTCGGACGTGTCGGGCTGTACAAGCAACACGACACCCCTGCGTGCTGCCGGCGGTCCCTGACTGCCGTGCGGGGCTGCTGAGGTTGTGGCTGGAGTTTTTGGAGAGGTCACTGGGTAGCACGCCCGCGTACCCCACCTTCCTGCACCCGGCCAGGCGCGGCGGGGGGACGACGAAGCGCGGAGTGGAAGAAGGAGGAGGGGAAGCAGAGCGAGTAGGAAGGCGACCGCGGGCGTGGAGCCGCCGGCGGGCGGGGAGGGGAGGGAAAGGAGGGGAGGGAAGGCGGGCGCGGGGCGGCGGTGGGCGGGCGCGGCAGCAGCCGGGGAGGGAGCCGGGCGCCCCGCGGCCCATTCGCGACCGGCGGCGGTGGCGGCAGCGCGGCGGTCGGAGGCGCTTGGCCCCCCGCGGGCAGGGCCTGTCAGCGCCGGCTGCCCCCTCCGCTGCGATGAAGGCGAGCCCGGCGGCAGCCGCCGCGGCGGCAGCGGGGCAGGCGGGAGGACCGCGGGAGCCCGATGCGCGCTGGCGGGAGAAGGGCGAAGCGGAGGCGGAGCGGCAGCGCACCCGGGAGCGGCTGGAGGCCACGCTGGCCGGGCTGGGCGAGCTGGAATACCTGAGGCAGCGGCAGGAGCTGCTGGTGAAGAGCCTCCTGCTGCGGCGTTCGGCGGGCGCGGGCGGGCGCGGGGAGCCGCCGGGCGAGGGGCCGCCGCCGCGCAGCCTGGAGGAGAAGTTCCTGGAGGAGAACATCCTCCTCCTGCGGCGGCAGCTGGTGAGCGGGGGGCGGTGCGGGGTGCCGGGGCTGCGGGGCGCAGGGCGGGCGCGCCTCGTCGCGGTGTCTTCCAGGCGGTGTGATCCGCGCGGGGACGGGGCCGCTCCCCGAGGGGTGCGTGCACATGCCGCTGTCACACCGGCACCGCGTCCCCGCCGCCCGCCTGCACGGTGCAGGTGAGGCGGCGGGGAGCGGCCGTTGCCCGGGGACGAGCCGCCGCGGGCTTGGGGGAAGCGGTGGCAAATCGGTGGCAGCCGGATTTTGCCGGCGTTTTGGTTGTGGCTTCGCAGCTCCCCGTCGGTTTCCAGAGCCAGGCCGGCGGCCCAACTTCCATTCAAGGCAAGAGAGGCACTGCCGTGTCCTTGAATGGAAGTTGGGAGCTCCTGGGTCGCGGCACCGAAAGCCCCGGCACGGGCACGATCCAGCCCCTAAAATAAGGGATGCTTTTGTTGAAGGACGCGCTTTGTAGCTGGTGTGGGAAGAGATGGAGAGCGGCATGAAGCGGCAGATCATTTTTCAATGAACATAGCGTACAGCTGTGCCTGGTGGTCTTTGTGCACGGCTCAGCATTTGCTTTCACGCAGGAAGAAGTTGGATTGCGTGATTTATTTGCTTGATTTCTCCCCCTTCCCCCCCCCCCTTTTTTTTTTTCCCCTCTCCTTGTTAGCCTTTTGGTTTAGTTAATTTAGGATTAGTTCCTTCTCGAAATTATAAGAATAAATGATTTTTCTGCTGAGAAGGGGCTGGGTGCCGACGAGCTGTAGTGAAGGACCAGGAGATCATTACTCAAAAAGATCCAACCCAACCCCCCTAAAACCTGGGGGTTGTGGTAGCACTTTAATTTGTGCACTTGACATTGTAGATTGGAACCAGATGGGGTGCTCGGAGGAGGAGGAGGGGGCACTGGTGGCAGTAGGTGGCGCGGTGAGTTACCGCTGGAACCCACCACCTCTGCCAGCCTGGCTTCCAGCAAGCTCTCCGGTCCCCCCCGAAATGTGGGAGAAGACCTGGGATCGCCCCTTTGGTTCTCCAAGGATGGTGTTAAATGCCAGCACATCTTAAAACAGTGTTGCTAATACTGTTAGCATTTGCTTTCCCTTTGCCCGAGGACTGGCCCACTGCAGGGGAAGGGTTGTCCTGGATTTAATGGGTTTAGAACCAGTCTGGTTACGAGCATCAAAACTCTTTGCAATGAGCATATCAGAGCACCGCTAGGCACTGATCGAATGATGCACTGACTAAAAAAAAAAGAGATAAACCTTCCTCCTGCTTCCCTCACTTTCCCCAAAGCCAGAACAATTAAAGTGTATGAAGCTACAGAGATGATGGATAAGCAACATTATAATACACACAGGGAAACTGATTGTGTTGACCGTGGGTTAATGAGTGCCTTACAGAATCATTTCTTATTGCTTATTTTATGTCATCAAATTACCTTCAGAAATAGTCTTAAAATTCATCTCAGAGCAATTTTATGCAATTATAATGGGTGAAGAGGAAGAATTACTCTTCCTTCCTGCTGCACGGCAAAACTAATAAATGGGCTGTGATCCCAGCCCTAGGAATCTTGCTGTCTGGTAGACTCTAAGCTTGTAATGTGCAGCAGAACAAGGCGGTTCCCACAGTACAGGCACTTGTTGGCAGAGCTGTTTCGTCTCATTGTGTGAGCAGATGTGATCTTTGACTAACATCACTGTGGTGATGAACATCCCCTATTACACTGGCAGTGCTGTCCTTTCACCCAAGTAGCCCGCTTCACATGCTCAGGCCTGGTTTGGCCATATCATATGATATAGCTTTGTTGTTACAGCTGTGATCCTGCAAAGGAGCGCTTTGCCAACACAAGTGTGTTGGTTTTTGTAAATTATGGAGCGTGCTCCTTATGTAGAACTGGCTGGAAAAGACTGCAATGAAGTGCCTGCATAATTCTTCAGTTAAGTATTTACCCAGAGCATTTGTCTAGAATTTTAGGGCTTTGTTCTGTTTTGGTTTTCTGTTTTGTTTCTTTTTTGTTTATTGGTTGTTTTTTTTAATAAAAGGATATTGTCAAAGTATTTCCACGATGCTCAGATGGAGAGGGCTGATCGGCTTTGGACTCCCTTCATGTCTGCCCCACTGATGGAGCTGATGGTTTTTGTCTTGTTTCCAGAACTGCTTGAGGAGGAGGGACGCTGGCCTATTAAATCAGTTACAAGAGCTGGATAAGCAAATAAGTGATCTCCGCCTGGACGTGGAAAAAACAACAGATGAACACCTTGAGACAGACAGTCGTCCAAGTTCAGGTAAGGCAGATATTCATGAAAATGGAGCCTCCCTTGGTACTTGGAATTAAACTGGCTGTAGTTTTCAGTATTACAACAGTAAACATCTGTTGCATGTTCACCTACTAGCAAAAATCACCTAACACTGGAAAGGCTGCTGTTTGTAGACAACATATTCAGAGGAGCACTTCAAGCTTAATTAGACTTTTAGTGTTTGGGATATGTTTTTTTCAAGGTCACTCACAAGTTAATTCAAAAAGTTCTAATTGTCCCGTGTATTAGGAAGGACGCTTCAGGGAAAATGATGAAAGGAAGCACCACCAGCAGGAGGAAGATGTCAAAATTGATCTTACAGCCAGAAAGAAACAGTGAATAAACAATTTGATCCCCCTATATTGAATTTCATCCCATTGTAATTGTGTTGAAGCCAGTAAATGGTATTTAACTATGGGGAACCTTTCCTAGAGGCATCCAGACTTGATCTGAAGACAGTAAAAAGTGGGGAATCCACCAACTTGCAATTGTTAAAACCATTGCTAATTTCTAGTCTGAATTTGACTTGTTCCAGCCATGATTTTTTTTATATGCTTTTCTCCCAGAAAGTAAGGTCTTTTTTGGTACCCAGCTTTTTCTCCTCTTCAAGGTGCTACAGAGTATAATTTCTGGCTTTTTTTAATGAGCTAAACAGATCAAGTTCATTAAGTCATTTGTTTCAAGGCATTTTTCCAAGCTCTTAAATAGCTTTGTGGCCGCTTTCCAATTTTTTAGCTTTGTTTTAAGCATGCTGGATTCAAGGACTAGGCACACCATTCCAATGTCTTTCTTACTAGTGCCATATAGACTGCTGAAGTAATTTCCCTGCTGCTATTCATTAGTCTCTTAGTACATCCAACAATCTCATTAAGTTTTTTTTGCCATATCATTAAGCTTGATTGAGCTGCTTTTCCATGCTGACTAAGTCCTTTCCAGGATTATTGTTTTTCAGGATGCATCCCCATTCTGTAGGCATGCCCTGCGTTCCTTATTCCTAAATGTACAATGTACATTTTGATTATGGTATGTCATAATTTTCTTGAGTAGTCCCAGTTTACCAGGAAATTAAATTTTTTGGGCCTACACATTATTTACCATTATTCTTCTTTTGTGTCATCCTCAAATACTGTATTTATCTCCAGAACTTTGAGGAAAATAATGGATAGCATTGGGTGCAACACTTGGGAAAAATTTTGTAGTCAAGTAGCTGGAGAGTCTGTCTTGGAAGTATAATACACTCTTAAATGAGTAGGCTGTCAGTCACAGCCTGGATCCTTTTTGCTAAAATCTGAAAACCCCTGTAGAGGTTAAAACCCCAGCCCCTGTAAAGGTTAAAAAAGAATTCAAAATTTCATATGCTAAGTAAAGTTCTGCTTTTTTACCTTTAAGTGCTTTCCTTTTAAACAGAATCCTTCATAGCAATAAGGATATTACTAAATCGTGCACTACTTTTTGGTGTGGCTGAATGAATACCCATTACTAATTGCAGTAGTGTAAGCCAACACAAATATGAGCTTAACTGCCTTTCTAAGGACACAAATGGTAACTTTGTGTAGACATAACTAATATAAATCCAAACTCTTACTTTTATAGGGTTTTATGAGCTGAGTGATGGAGCTTCTGGATCTCTCTCCAATTCATCTAACTCTGTCTTCAGTGAGTGTTTATCCAGTTGCCATTCTAGCACTTGCTTTTGCAGCCCTTTGGAGGCAACACTGCATATCTCAGATGGACGGCCTAAATCTGCAGGTATAGTAAAAGCAGGTTGAATACATTGTACTCCAGGAGGTGGCTTTGGCTTTGGAAATACTGCCTCAGGAGTATCTGGGTTGGATTAACCCTTCTTCCTTTCATTTGACGTATTATGCTCTGAAAAGATTTCAGTGTCTGTCATATACATGGGTCATGAGGCAGGACCGTTTGCCCTCTACTAGTCCAGTCTTACGTGTGAATATGGCACTAAACATCTGAAAATAACACAAAAATATGACAGCTGCTCTACCCAGTAGAGGGCAGTGGTACCTATACACATGAACATGTTAGTCAGCTGATTTCTTACAGTTCTCATGCTTTAGAAAAGCATTTCTAGTAAATAGCAATAAAGATAACTCATAGTGTCCTAATTAAAGTGACAAAGTAAGGGGCCGTTTAGGAGGTCAGGGTGCATGTCAATGTTCTTTTAGCAGTCACTTTGTCAGTTCTGATGGTCCTCAACCCCCAGGTGACCATGCTGAGGGGTGTCCTGCATTTATAGAGAATAAACAAATAGACATTGTGAGCAGGAAAAAATATTTTGTTTCTTTGGTCAAGAGCTATTGACTTTCCTTGGACACTAGGCTGAAGATATAGGCCTTAATGTGTGGGATTGTTAAATAGGAAGGCCTCCTCTGTCTGTTGTCCAGAAAGGACACTTCAGTAAGACTTTTGTGATCAATCCCTATTGGTTGCAGACGTTCAAAAGCCTTAGTTCATTCTGGCTTATAGAGGATGCTTCTAACCATAGTATTTCCAGTTTGCATTTTGCTCTTTAAGGTTAACTTATAGTGATTCGTTGTGAATCAAGGGCAAAATAACTCACGTTCTTCTAACTCTGAAGTGGGAGAATGCAGCCTGGGAAACATTCATTCTGAGAAGTCCTCTAAGTTATCCTTTGAGCAGCTTGAGGTAATCTAATGCTCCCCATTGTAAGGTGTATGTGATCTTCATAGGCCATACATATAAACATACACAAGGAATTCCAGCTGACTGCATTGCTGTTGTTTTTCTGTATACATCACAAATCCCTATAACTCTCATTATTCTCATATACTGTCTCACTTTTAGAGATGAGATTTCACAAGCTGGCATGTTTCAAAGAAGTGTCAACATTTTGTCAACATTTCCTGACCCTGACATACAATTTAGGAAACATGAGAAAGCTGTGTGATGATCTGGAGGAAGTTCATGCTCCTAACCTCCCTGTTCTCCCTCTCCTGCTCACACAGGAACATCACCTCTATCAGCTAATTTCAGCGACGTCTGTGAGACCTCTTTTGAAATAAGCCTTAGATAAGTGATGAGCACTGAGTATTTGAAGATGAATGCCCTGCCTGAAGTTTCTAGCCCAAGGGTAGAAAACAGGACTGACAGTGATCTAGAAGGATCATTTAGATTGTACCTCTACCCAAGAAGACAAGGGCAACATAAACTTAAGAAAATAATAATCTTAGGTCTTGGGTGCTTCAATTGAAGCTCTGCTCCGAAGGTCCCTTACCTCCTGAGTAAGCGCCTCAGCAATCAAATCTGACTCATGCGTCTTGAAACACGCTGGATTTCTCTTACAGAATTCTCTTTGCAAAGCGAAGGCTAGGATGTCAGCTGGATTGACCTGCATTCTTTGTACTTCTGAGGAAAGATGAGCCTGTTTCTCGTTTCTTAGCCTTTTATTGCTCAAAAGGAGCACCTGTTATTATTATTAGCCTTATTCTATCTATAAAATCATTCTGATGATAATAACAATAATACAATTAGTTCTGGATTTTTTCTGACCCACCATATGCTTGATAAAATCTGGAAGTGAAATTTGTCAATAATCTGAAAAAATTCATATTTTTTATGTTTGTCCTTGAGTTTAGCAAAATAAATTATAAAATTCATACATACTGAGGCTTGCAGTGAGTTTTGCAGGTGGATGTGTAACACATAAACATGAGACCCTTATAGACTTATGGTTGGCTTGAAAGTAAAATAGGAAGCTCTTAGCAACCTAGGCACAGGTTTGAACCAATGTAAATGTTCATTAGGGTTGTGATTTTTAATTTTTTTAACCATGTAGTCATATTGGAGGAAGTCTTACATAGACAGAATTAGAATGAGTCTCAGAGAAGAATAGCGCTGCTTTTATATTGCTTGAATAACATCCCTGTTGCGAGTTTTCTACCATTTGTATACTGCTGCTATAGTTAAAACATGGCATCGTATGTGTAGATGGGACCAACATCCTTGGTGACAGGTGAAAAACGTAGCAGAACTGTCCCTGGCAGGCTCTCTAAACATTTCTAAAATGCCTTTCAGATCTCATAGGCTGGATGGACTATAATAAGGAAGGCCAGAATGAGGACCAGCCTGCAGGCTCTGTCTGTTGCTCTTTATCCACACCGCACTCAAATTCCCTCGATGTCGTTGCAGATGTGCATCCGAAGTACCAGTGTGATTTGGTGTCTAAAAACGGGAGCGACGTCTACCGGTACCCCAGCCCCCTCCATGCGGTAGCTGTGCAGAGTCCCATGTTTCTTCTGCCCGTGACTGAAAACCCCCAGCGAGAAGAGGAGAGGTTTGATTGTGATATTAGCGACATTTGTGCCGGATCTGAAACAGACTCCGGAAAATCCGCCAATGCCTTTCTCTCACAGAGCTCCTGGCCAGTGCCATGCCCTTCCACCAGCAAGAGGATAGACAGTTACATCTTAAGCCTGGTTCAGAAAAAGACTCATGCGGTAAGGACTAACAAACCCAGGACAAGTCTCAACGCCGATCCCACCAAAGGGATCTTGAGGCATGGAAGCATGTGCGTCAGGCAGCCTGCCGGGCTGGTGCCTCATGGTAACATCATGAACCTGAAGAGCTCCAAGCAAGCAGGTTTGTCTTCTGGTGGGAGCACTGCTGTGGACCACACTGCACCTTCCCCATTAAAGCAGAGGCCGAAGGAGCTGGCTGGTGAGCAGCTGGAGAGTAGGAAGGCACCTTTGCCAGCATCTTTCCTTCCTGGCACAACAAGTGAACTTCAGAGCAAGCACCTACCACGGGGCGTCAAACCGGCACCTCCAGAGCACAACCGCAACGCAGTGGCCCCGGCCGGGGATGTCCCTAAGGAGAATGGCCAGGTCTTTGCAGCATCTCCCAAAGAGAGCCCAGGGAAGCCTGTGGTGCTGCAGCCAGAGAACAGGATCAGCCAGCCTCCCAAAAAAGTCCTGCTGAAGAGCAGCTTGCAGGCACCTCGCTCCTCATCACCTGCTGCTGAGGAGAGGCCGGCGCTTGATTTCAAAAGCGAGGGCTCTTCCTCCCAGAGCCTGGATGATGGGTTGCTGGTGAACGCCCAGTATATCCCGGCCCAGCAGCAAAGCATGAAGCTTCACAAAGGCACCCGAAATGTCAAGATTTTGAAAAGCTCCACGCTGAAACACAGACCCCACCTTGCCAATGGGCTGGAAAATGGTTCTCAGACCTTGAGGGAGAAAACCAAGCCAGTGGGCAAGAAGTGCCGCTTTCCTGAGGAGTTGGATACAAATAAGAAACTGAAAAAGCCCTCCTCGAGGGGGAAGAGAGGCAGTGGCTTGCAGCCGGAGTCAGGTCTACAGAGTCGGCAGGCTGGTCTGCACAGATCTGCCGTCCGATCTCATGGGCATGGCCGAGAGGTTGTGGTGGCCAAGCCTAAACACAAGCGGGCTGACTACCGCCGGTGGAAGTCATCGGCGGAGATTTCCTATGAGGAGGCCCTGCGGAGGGCGAGGAGGAACCGTCGGGATGGTGTGGGGGTCTACTCACAAGTTCCCCTGCCCTACGTCAGCCCATACGCTTACGTGGCCAGCGACTCGGAGTACTCAGCAGAGTGTGAGTCCTTGTTCCACTCCACCGTGGTGGACACGAGTGAGGATGAGCAGAGCAACTACACAACAAACTGCTTTGGAGACAGTGAGTCAAGCCTGAGTGAGGTGGAGTTTGTAGGCGAGAGCACAACCACCAGTGACTCTGATGAGAGCGGGGGCCTCATTTGGTCTCAGTTTGTCCAGACACTCCCCATCCAAACTGTCACAGCGCCAGAGCTGCATGAAAATGCAGCAAAAGCCTTTGTTAAAATCAAAGCCTCACATAACCTCAAGAAGAAAATCCTCCGCTTTCGGTCGGGCTCCCTGAAGCTCATGACAACTGTCTAGTGAAGGTGACTTGGTGGAATGTATCTGCTTCTGCTTTCTGAAGCAAGGTGCTTTTGTGTATATATTTCCACAGATTTTTCTCCTTTTTTTTTTTATATACAAATATTTAAAACTTAAGGTAAATTATGTCACTTGTCTTCAGAACTTGGGTGGATACTAGTGCCTTTTATGTGGAAATAAAAGACCGTTATACTCATTTAAAAAGAAAAGGTAACACTGCCATTTCAGTGGTGAACAGCCTCCAGTGCATGGTGTCAGAAGGATTTGAAATAGGGCTAATATTCCTGGGAATGGATCTCCCTTGCCTAGATTTTCCTGTTCTGGGTCTTGTACAGGATATCAACAGCTTCAGATTATAAGTTTTTAGGGGATAAGTGGGAGGGAGTGCAGGTGGTCTTCATGTATTGCTTGTCCCTTTCTGCTGCTCCTGTTGCCACACCTTGAACTTCTTCCTGGCTGTCTCGCCTGGTTTCTTGTTTTGTTTTGTTTTGTTTTGTTTTTGTTTTATTTTGTGGGTTTTTTTTTGTTTGGTTGGTTTTTTGTTTCTGATTTGTTTGTTCTCTTCTTGAAACTCACCCCCGTGTCCTCCCCCAGCCACCCCCCACCAGGAAAGTGCTCCTGTTCAATTAGTCTTTGAGGTTAGGTTGCCTTCGCTGGAGTACATGCTACTCCTGTCTCCTGGGAGTCCCACTGTGGATGGTGGTGGTATTCAGAGTAACTTCTTGGAGCAGCTGACCAAGGCTTAGTAACTTCAGTATATTGTGTAAAACTGCTTTTGAAAAAGAAAAAAAACCCATATGCATGTCATGTGCATGAGTATCAGTAGTTTTTAATATTCCCGTTGATGTCCAATTTACTGTACATCATCAATGGCTGTTTTTATATATATATCATTGTGTAAATTAATATAACACATCATATGCTGTAATAAACAGTCTGTTTTAATACTTTTTAGAAGTTTGTTACATTGGTACAGACCCAGTCAATGGTTTTATGTTGGCTTTGGCACCACTTAGGTATCTGTGATGTGACCTGTTAACGTTCCTTGCATTTAGCCATGCAGGAAACAGAGCAAGTTTAAAATGTTGCTGTGAATGTGACTTGTTCTTGGAGGGAACTGGATTGTCATGGATCCTCTTGTTCTTTCTGTAACTTGCATCATTTTTGAGGACAAGGTGAGATAGAGTTGCTATAGGCATCTTCAGGTTGTTGCTTATGGGCAGCTCATGATGTGGAACAGATAGAAATGTTGTATTAATCTTCATTGCTGTCAGGGTGCTTGCACTTTGGTTGGTACAACGCAGAGGCAGATGGCAGGCTTCTGTAACCAGATAGATCTGTGTAATGCAAAGGGTGCCCCCCCTGAAATGTCCAGTAAATGAATCCCTAAGAACTGTGTGCTCTGGGAGCTGGGCTGGGTGGAGGAGAGCATAGACTTGCTGTCCTTGGTGCTCTCTTTAGATGTGGTAGCTGACTGTGTAACAACCCTAACAAGGTTATGGAAAGAAGTGACAATTGTGTCACCCACTGGTCTTTATCTCAGTTTCTTTGTTTCCATAGGACAGGAGGTGAGTCCGCCAGCACAGGAGAAAGGAGCTAACCCTAGACAGCACTGCTTCCCTTCACAGCAACAGCATTGACATTGCCTGGGGGGAGGCTGGAGGTTTATGCCAGGCATGACTGATGGAGCAGGCTCAGAGGTTGGGCTGGTTTCTGCAGGTTCATCTGCTCTGGCATCTGTGAAGCAGTGGCCATGCAACTGGTGTGGATGCTGTGACTGTAGGAATTTCAGGGACATACGTGCAGGCTGTCTGTTCTATAGCAGGGTCTGAGCAGACACCTTCCTTTGTGGTTCCTCTGTCTTTTCTGCTGTCACCCACCTGGAAGGCAGAGCAGTTTTCTTCTCAGGTTTCCTTGCGTTGCAAATGTAGGAAGAGGTCCACTCAGAATTAAATTTCTCTGGGAGCAGCTTCTGAGAAAGTGGAAACACTTTTTCTAAGTGGCAGATTTTATTTTTTTTAATCTGCAGTATAGTAAATCCATATCTATAAAATGTCCCTCTCAGTTTTCCCCTTTTTTGTTAGAGGAATGCCAATTTCTGTAAGGGATTTTGAAGCATGGTCACAAGGTTCTGGATTCAGTGACCCAGATAGTCCTTGCACTTCCATCTCCCATGATGACAGGACAAGCTGTAACTCACCTTAATCTGGTCGCAACTCTCCCATTGTTTTACCCGTGGAAGGGTAGCTTATTTATATATATCTATCTATATATATACATGTACAAAAATTTTATATGTTGATGTAGAATGATTCATCTGGAAATTAGTGGACAATGGCTGCCACTGCAGAGATTTTAAACATGTAATCACTAAGGTTAAGCAGCAGCTTAATGTATTCCTGTTAATAATTGATGGGTGTCATATCAAAAGGAGGGAATGTCAAGAAGCTTGTTGAAACTAGTTGTTTCTTTCCTAGAATATCTCTTAATCATCCCACATCATCTCTCCTTGAGTGAGAAAAACACGTGCAAATCCCTGTAAATCTCCTCAAAGGTGTAGTAGAATAGCAGAGGATCTTCAGACATGCACTCTGCCTCTCTAGCTATAAAGGAGCCACTGGTGAGAAGACAAACTAACCAGTGGCTTTGGGATGATGAGTTTTCAGAAGTGAGCTGCTGAACAGTTACTTTTTAGGTAACTGATTAAAAATAGATGATAAAATAATCACCTAATATCGCTAAGACTGTTACCAGCTGGAACAACTCTATTCTGCGTTACTCTTGTTGAAGAATAGACAGGGAAATGGGCTGATCCTATTGCCCTCTTAATTGCATTTGAGTCTTTCCAGTTTGGGGAAGGAATTTTCCTTTTCCTACATGATTGAGGAAACATCCAGAATCCTTTAAATAGGCCCAGGTTTTTCTCTCTTTCCTTCCCCTCCCCCCTCCCCCCCCCCTTTTTTTTTTTCTCTTAATAAAAGGTATTACAGTGCTTGAAAAGTACTTGGTATAGTCCAAACACACAACACACATTCTCTTCTCCGGTTCTGATTTCGGAAACACATCTAAGTTTTTGTAACATTAGGTTGAAAAACATCTGCTAATCTTGGAGACCAGTTAAGTATCTGGCACTTGTTTAAAGCTACCTGGCTTTCTAGCTCCACAGCCTTGAGTCCTTGCCAGTGCATTTTTTATACTGTTCATGTTTTAATTATCCCCAGTGTTTATGGTAGGTTTTGGAAGTTTGAAGTGTGAACATTTCATTGCACTGGGGCCTATCTCAAGGTGGGGGCAGCTTGTGGAGGGAAGGTTTGGGATTAGCTGCCCCTGTGCTCCATATATAGCTGAGTACAGGAAAGTACAGAAGCACATGCTTAACATAAAGAGTAAGAGCAGACTCCCTTTTGCTGGGTTCCCTGTGATTCAGGTTATATGGTGTTGCTGCACAACTCTGAAGTACCATCTCTCCCACTGCAGGAATCAGCGGCATGCATGCCCTGAAGTGCTGTCACCTGAAAGGGATGAGGGTATCACTGGGTGGTTTGCCTTCCAGCAGGTTTTTTGGGTCTGCCTTCTGCTCCCTAACCCCAGCCACCAGCTGTGGGTCAGCAGATAACGAAGCAAGCTGTGTCTTGTGCATGTGTGGGGTCAGAGAGAAGCCCTGGCATTGTGCCTAGATGTCCCAGCTACGTGGGGCCCCTGTTGTGGACCTCACACTTGTCATGAGAAATTTGATGTGCCAGTGGTGCAAGAGTCTGTACAGCTGTGTCTGAAGGAAGGTGGGAATGAAGAATCCCATATACATGGAGTGGTCTGATCCTGATTCATCTGTATTTTCAGGAGAGGCTCAAAGAGGAGGTGTTTCAGTCTAATGCCTAGGTCAGTAAGTTCGACTAGGCTAAGATCACCTCATTTCTTCCAGTACTGGTTTAAATGATCAAGGCCTCTATCAGGACTGCCAGTGGCTGAGGTGCTTCAACCATCTGACCAAGTCCTGCAAGTACTTTACTGGGAGAAGTGATAAGCTTCAGTCCCCTAGGTCTGTTTTGACCTTCCAGCACAAACCCTTACATAGAGATTGAAGGTCCCAGCCCTTTGCAGCTTTTCCAGTCCTGTGGCTTCAGAGGGAATCTGTCCTTCCCTTACAAGTTTTCTAGGTTTATTCTGGCTTAGGGTTTATCCTGGATAAGGATTTGCAACAGATTCTCCACGACGGAGTGTTGTGCCTTCACTAAGCCCAAATCTATGTTTGTTGGCCCAGAGAAAGTTCAGGCACTTCTCAGGGGGCAGCCAGCAAAGCCGTCGAGGGACCTGCATCCCTTTCTGCCACAATGGACAATGAAGGCTTTTGTTAGTTGTGATCACTACTGAGCAAATGGTTCACCACCATGGGTACAGCTCTCCCTCAGCTTGAGACTTCTTGCAGGACGGGGGGAACAAGCACATGAATATTTTGAGGAAACACAAACATCTAAAGACATTTTTAATAACTTCAACACCTAATGCGTACATTTGGAGTAGCCAACAGTAACACATACAACTGAGCTGCTAGTACAAAAACCAAAACCAGTCTCAAGTCTGCAGTGTCCTGTCCACAGTACAGAGAGGGTACTGCTGACCAATGGAGGCAGTTCATAAACTTGGTCCATCTTTCAAACTTGCTTTTCTTCTGAATTTCTTTGAACCTCCAAGGAATTGTGTTGAGGCTCCTTGCATGGCATGATGTTTCTTTCTGTAACTAAACATTATAGATGGAGGTCTATAGTGAGAAAGAATTGCTCTGGGGTTTAAAAAGCCCCCAGTGCTGGAATGAGGACACATGGATACAAATGATCAATCCATTTAAAAGGGATAATAGAAAGATAGAAAGTGTGTTTTACAGCAGGGAATTTGCTGCCACAGGAAATAGCGAGGCAGACATAATATCAGCAAGTTCAAAGGGGTTAGAGTAGGTAGGGAAGGATGTGTGCTCTACCATTCCCAGGCAGTGACTGTGGATGCTAGGAGTGTGAGGAGAAAGGACCACAAATAGTGGCCAGGCTTGCGTGCGCCCCTTAAGGGTTGTCTTTTCCTGCAACTGCTGAAGCACCAGTAGCTGGAGGAAATGCACCATCCTGCTGACCCAGTGGGCCATTTGCTATGTTCCTGTGATCTCGGTGTAGCTGATGGGAGTTGTCTATGCAATTGAGTTCACTCTTTATTAGTCTTTTGTTCTCCCAACTGCTGCTGAAGAAGAGTTTTGCATTGCTTTGCAAAGAAGTTCACTTTGCACATTTGGCTGATGGTGGCATGCATTTGTTCAAACTGTGGAGGTGTTTCTGATCACTCTTGTCTGATGGAAGAATAATTCCATCTACCTTTTCACATGGGCAGTCTGTGATGAAGTGCTCTGTTGCAGTGAGTTTTGTCCCCCTGTAATGCAAACACTGTTACTAATATATAATCCATGTATTAGTCTACCATGGGAGTCACTGTTGGGCAGCAATTTTACATCCTACAGTTACTTCTAAACTGCAGGAAAACTTGTTGACCTCCATGCCAAACGAACTGACCTAGTGACAGAGTGCATCTACTGCGCATTGCCTTAGGACTCTGCTGTCCTTGGAGTTTTTCTCTTCCTCTGTGTCTACATTTGTTCTTTTTTTTTTTGAGCAATAGAGCAGTCTGGAAGCAAGTCCTGTGGTCTTCTCTACTTCTGCTGATTTTGGACAGCAGAGGAGTTTTGGTGCATGCTAGCTAGATGACTTTGGGATGCCAGCACAAATGGTCCACTCCAGGGACACAGAAAATGTGCTTCTGCCTGGACAGGTACATGGGGGTCTGAACCAGTGCTGACTCCCTAGAATAGCTTCCTATCAAAAAATGTGAACAAGTTTGATCCAAATGACATTGAGGACCGGACTAAATCTAGGCTGAAGTAAACACTTGAACTGTGTACACTGTATTTGTGGGGACCTCAGTTTGGACCTGCTCCCTTTGTGCTGAATGACTTGTTAATGTAAACAGACATAAACAGAACCTCTCTTTCAGTTAATGGCCTTTGTTTCCATGCTGTATTCTTTTAAGATCAATAAAGTATATTAATATTAATAACTTGATTTTACTGAGCCAAGCTCTGAAAATCTGGCTTTTATTCTTTTAAAAGGAGTTGGAAGTCCTAGAAACTAAGATTTTCATGACAATACTGAAGGAAAATCTGTATGATTTGGACACTGACCTTATGATGTAATGGCTTTGTAAGCAAATTAAGTGTTTTCTCCCCATAAAAGTTCAAGTCTTTTGTGGTCAAGGGCAGGAAGCTGGAAAACTTGCAACCTGTTGCAAAATGTGTTACCTGTGTCTCCTTACATTCTGTGAGCCTTGTGTCTTCAGAAATGAGATTTTCATGAGGAGGAGAGGAAGCCTGAGGTCCAGGGAGGAGAAGAATCTAATCAATCTTCATCTCTGAAGTACCCGTGCAGTAAGTGTTTAAGCATGTGATTAAGCCCATTCTTACTCAGTGAAGCATTTCAGAGCATGTTTTAGGTACTTCATGGCTGGGGTGAATTAAGCAGGTGCTCAGGAATGCTGGTGGATCAAGGTCTCCCTCACCTTTGCAAAAGTCCTATGTCTGTCTGTATAAGCTATCCCAGTGACTTCTTTTGGCTAATGTTGTAAGGACTGTGCATTCCCTTAAAAGTCAGACCCTGTGTGATGAAACTTGATTCAAGATGTTAATCTGAACTCAGGAAAAGCATTGTCTTCAGTCTGTGCTTGAAGCAGTAATGGAAAGAAATGCCTTTAAAGGAAGAGATGCATTTGCTATTTGTAGAATTTGAAGACACTGGGCTAAAAACACTTGGAGATGAGTGTGAATGTGCCTGTGCTCTGTACCAATAACAGAACTTCGTGTGAACCCTGGGAATGGCACTTAGGGAGAGACAGAATGACCCTTTCTATATTTGCTCCCTTCCCTTGGATATCCAGGCAGAGCTGGGAGAATGATGTAGGCAGGGAGGGCCAGGCACAGACACCAAACCTGTAGGGTCTGGAGTTCCAACTATTCAAGTGCTTGGCTAAAGCAGTGGGATCTCTGGGCTACCCAGAGCTGGAGACAAAAGTGATGGTAGGTAGAGAGGGTGACTTTGCCTGTCTTCAAGGAAAGCTGCAGTTTGAGCAAAATGTAGAGGCAAGGAAAAGGTTAAAAGTTTGTCGTCTCTTCCCAGACACGTTATTTACAGTGGGTTGGTTTCCTTTTGGAAGGGCCCACTGTAAAAGGAGACGTTCCCAGCATTTTCGCAGGTTAGACCTGTATCTCATTACAGTTTTCTTTCCTTGATTCTTGACTCTCTTCCTGTAGTTGCTCTTCTCTTGGGAAGATGATCTCAGGAAAGAGTAGGAGTTTGCTAAAAATCCAGAGCCTTGGAAGACAAAATCATGCTGATGGCCTTTTCTTTCTAGACATCAGGTCAGTCCTCAATGCTGCATCATGTTCTGTATCTCCCAGTGCAGGGCAAAGGCTGGGAAAGAAGTGGAGCAGGAAATCCATTGGGTTTGATAAGAGAGCAGTCTGTAGATCCTGTTGGAGCAGCTTGCAAAGGCTGTAGCACTAACCACAGGAGCAGTGCCTGACTGCGACGTGTGAGCAGCCATCTCACCTGGTGGTCAGTGAGGTCAAGGGTAGTTTTGGGTATTGACCTGGATATCACAGTGTCTGCTGTCACTCAAGCCACCTTCGTGCCTCCAGGCCACAGCAGACAGCATGTTCATCCTGGTAAGTGTTTCCTTTGCTGCTTTTTAAATCTTCATGAAACACATATTGGCTTATCATTAAAAGCACAAGCACTGAATGAAACTGAACTTCTGTCTTGTTTCTCCTGTCAAACACCTCATGTTAGTGCTTTCTTTGATGTTCGGTTGCCTGGAAGGAAGAGAACCTATACCCTTCTCATCTGCAACATATGAGTTTTTCACAGGTGCCTTCTGAGTGATGTGGAACAACACACTGGGGCAACACACCGCTCTGTTTAACACTGTGCAGGACATACGGAAGCAACCCTGTATCTGCACAATCCACAGCTACCCCGAGATATTTTTCAGACAGCGATATCGGGACTGGGAGGTTTGGATCTGACTCAACCCCCTTGAAGTCCATCACTACTTAGGGTGAAGATGTTCCTGCAGGGAGAGGAGGAAGCATGCTCAGAAATGTTTATTATTACTGTTAAATGTCAAATTCCTTTTTTTCCCCTCCCCTGCCATGGAGATAGTGATCTCTACTGTAGTCCCTGCTGCTTTCTTTTTCCTGTGTTGATCTACATTAAGACTTGCTGCACTTCAAAGATGGTCTTAGCCCTAAGAGAGGCTTTTGTTGCTGACCTATAGGATTTTGATTCAGAGTATGTATCTTCCCCTGGGCCTGTTGCAGATGCCCACCGTCACCCTAGGTAGGTAGTTCGGGCTCACTTACACACTAATGTGGGCACTCCAGGCCTTCCTCCCTTCTCTCTTCTTTGCCATTACAGTGGGATATTTTAACTTTCTTCCTCTGTCCTATTGACTCTCCTCTGAAGTCATCCAGGTGTGGGGTGTTCCTCATAACTTCAGAGCAGAGCACTTATGTCTTTGTTCTAAGTAAACTTTGTGGATCCATTATAAAATAGGACATATGAAATGAATTTCACATTTGAAAAAAAAAGTTTTTCTTATATTTCTCCCCTTTATGAACTTCTCAACACCAGTGTCATAATATGAACAGGAAACACAGCAAAAGAAGTGAAAATAATAAATCCCCATCCGTACTGTATAGCAGAGTCAATGCTTTTTTGTGGGGGGAAGGAAACAAAAGGCCTGCCAAAGGGTCCTCATTGATACTAATCTAAAACCCCCCAAATTTACTGATCTACAATTAGGAGGGGTAGCAAAATGGACAAATGGGAGCTATGATGCTGGGCAAGATGTAGCTGGTCCTTGTGCTGGAAACTGATTCCTCTGGCTGCTGGATCCACTTTTATTCCTGTTGATTGATTTTGAGACTGTTTTCTTGGTGGTCAGGGCTGCTTTCAGAAACCACTTATAGTGCACTGATGAAAAGGCAGATTTTGTGTGTAAACATCCCAATAAGCAGGTCTTGACAGATGGTTTGTTCAAGCCCTACATAAACCTACAGCTGGTGTCAGTGTCTCCTACAGATGATTCCCAGGAGAACTTCCCCACAGTGTGCTGCAGAGCTCTCAGCTTTTACAGAACACCCAGCTGCATCCCAAGGAGGAGCATTGGTGCTTGCCTGACATGTTGCAGGTATGTCTCTGGGAACACCACAGATCTTCTGGAAAGATGTTTCTCATAATGAAGACAAAGTTAGGCTCCCAGTGGCACCTGTCATTGACTGGATAGGGTAAGCAAGATGTCTGTGCACAGCAGCTACTGCTGCTATCTGTTAGTCCATGAGCAGTGAGAAATGTCCAGTGTTACATGAAGCGGAATAAGAAACCTCTTGTACACTCTAAGTACCCTTCAATCCCATTTCAATCTTTGAAAAATCTGTCCCCTATAATTTCTAGTAAACTGTAGAAAAAAAAAAAAAGTTGTCTAGGCACTGATTTTTCCAAGTGAATTTCTTCCTTTTTCTCCATTTTCTTTGTGCATCTGATGAGCTGGTCTGAGCACCGGGGTCCACCCATGAAGCTGTAGTCATTCACAGTATCAGGTGTGTAGTCCTCAGGCAGATCAAATATTTCCATTAGGAGCTGACAGATAAATTACAGAGATTTTACCTCACTCTTCTCCTTTGGAGACCTTGGGACTGTAAGATAGTTTATATCATCTTCCTACGAGACCAAGCAATTTAGATTTGACTGATTCGTGTATCCCTGCAGTGTTTCCAGTGGGCTGTATAGGGTATGAAGCTCTCTGCCTCTGACCTGAGAGCAGCTGAAACAGGACTGATGTGCAGAGGGACAGATGTTGCGAGGGAAATGGCTACAGCTGTCCTGTGATGGTGTCTGCTAGGAATGGGCTTAAAAGAATGATTCTGGTTTGGGAAGAAGTTTAGTTTTGATGAAATTTGGCTGAATTCCCTCCAAAGTGGAGCAAAACGCATCCAGGCAGAAATTCTGCAAAAGGGAATAGTGCATCAGTTTGCATTGTGGGTTGTCTCAAGAGCCAATCTCAGGAGCACTGAGCCTCTCCACTGAGTTTCATGGACTCTCCGTGATTTGGATGCTCTTGTGATTTGCCCCTGAGACAGTCTAACATCTGGGACACCCCAAACTGAGAAGTATGTGAGCAGTGAGATCCCCTCTTGAGAAGCAGCCTATTTGGCAGCAGGCTGCCCCAGGGCCCTGGAAACCTGAGTGGTGGAGGAACCAGATGGGTGACCAGGCAGGAAACTCAGCAGGTTTCTTATGTTTGGATCCCTGTACAAGTTTCATGGGAACCTGGGCAAAATTGACTCACCTTGTTGAGATTTTGCTGAATTGGTGAATTCCTCTGAAATGCTGTCTAGCCTGAAACCTTCTGAGCAGGTGCAGTATCTTCAGCTACCTTTTGAAGACAGACAACATGTTCTCCTGTGCTTTGCAACATGGGTCTTCTGAAAGTCAAAGCAGCACTGTCTTTGCTATTGAGTCCTCTGCCAGCATTCACGCTCTTGAAGTGGTGTTGAGGAGGGAGGGTACAGGAACTTGGCAGTGACAAGTGAAGGATGCTGGCAGGTTATTCTGATCCTTAGAAAATCATTGTGTTCTCCTCATTACACTACACCTCATCCACCTACTCTGTCTTGTGCTAGAGACTATAAATTTTCCATATTAAATTCATTCCCCAAGTTCTCTGTTTGTTTTCACAGCCTCTAGCTGAGTTTCCTAGGTGCTACCCTTATATAAACAGTAATAAAGGCTGCTCTGCCCTGCTGCAAACCATTTCTGAGGAAGTTCCCTCTAATTCTCGTCTTAGTTTAGTGTTGTATCATTAGAAGGCACGAGGCTGTTAATTGGCGGCTTACAGCTTTTGTGACTGATGCAAACCAGTGTATGTGTAATGGCTGCAAACGCTCAGGTGAACGCACTGAAAGGGGGAAGAAGCAGATGGCCATGAGCAGAAGGTTCCCTGCTAAAGGTGACAGGAAAAGGTTAGTGATAGGGTTGCCCCGAAGCTGGAAAAAAGAACCTAATACCTGGACAACTGGCAAAGAGCCTGGCTAGACTGTGGCTTTGTTCGCTAAAGGGGGCTGCTGCTGTTGGCAGACTCATACATCAAAGCTCTCATAACAAAACACAGCAGAGATCTGTATCACCCAGCCTGTGGCACTGGCAGGAAACGGATTGGTTGACAAGTCAGAGGCTCTTTCTGAATAGATGGCTGGGTAGGAGTTAGTGGCTGCTTGCAAAATCTCGGAAGGAGCCTTTAATCTGCGTGTGATACTGTATGTTCTAGTGAGCATCTAGATGTTTATCTCGGCTGCATTAGTCACCAAGAGAGTCTGCTCTCAACTTTTCTCTTCTGTACCTGAGCTGCAGGCTTCTTTTGCCAGTTTTTGGAAAAGGTTTGAGGTTAGCACTGTAAGATTTATTGGGCTTTTTGTCATTTTGACTGGGAAATATAACAGGGACAGGTTTTCTTGGTAATATTCTGCAGAGCATATTTAGTGCTGTGACTTTGTGTGTGCTGTGATAGGCTTTCAGAGCCTTGCCCTGGGAGCCAGTGGTCTGAAAAGTCTTATCATGCTCCTAAACAAATAACTCTGTCCTGAAGCCCATTAGAGGAACTGCAGAGCTGCGCTTCTCCCAGCCTGATGTTAAATGCCTTGCAGTGCCAAAGGTAAACAGGATCAATCAGTCGTCCTCCCAGGGACCGTCTAATGGCAGTCCATGAATCAGGCTTGCCTTTTGAGGTCATTTTTATCTGCCTTGGGGATTACGAGCTGACCAAATTGGGGTCTTGCTCTGTATGTGCAGGATGAAGAGGGGGGTCTGACAGGGTGTGTTAATGAGGTGAAGCCAGTGTAAATATGCCTGTTATGATGAGATCTGCAAAGCGATGAAGCTTGAGCACGCAGGCTTTGGCCATCTTTGCTCTCCTGCAAAGCCAATATTGCCAGTGCATCTGCTGGCTTGGCTAAACAACAGCTTGATGCTGCTTTCACTTCTGTGCTTTTGTACCTATGGTGTGTTGTTTGTTTTCTTTTGACTATGCCAAAAAAGAGCTTAGCTCAGTGAGGAAACCAAACTCCCAGCAATGCCTGAAGAATACAGACAATTTAATAGTCTGAAGTTTTGCTAATCCAGACAGTAACATGAGCTCAGGGTTTTCAGCTGAGGTCCCACTATAACTTTGCACATCATCCAGTGAGATTTAGAGCCTATCAAGTCATGGGCTGTGTATGCAATTAAAAAGCTCTTTTCCCAAAGGAGTTCACAATGCAGAGACAAAATATTTATCCTCCCAATTAGTTTATTGCAGCAGACTGGAGCACAGAAGTCAGATTATCTGGGGGCATGCTAAGACCGTGCGTGTGCCATTGAACTTGGAAAAGGCATTTTTCATGACATCTGGTTTCAATCGATTTGTCGTCAATTCACAGTGCCAGACCCATTTTATGGGACCATTAAAGTACACAACACTGACACGGGGTTGCAGCTGTAATCCAAACATGGGTATCCAAAGTAAGAGTTCTGCTACCTCTCGCTGGTGACTGTGTAAAAAGTAAGGATCTGGTTGCCATGCTCTTCTGAATGCAGCTTCTTTTACCGTTTGAGAAAGCTGCAGGCTGGGCCATCACCTTCAGTCATGCCATACACAACTTGGTCCAATCTGCGGTGCCTGAACAGACCTTAGTGGGGAGCGGGGACCCAGTCTCTATGTGTCGGACAGCATGCCAAGCATTATGGAGGTCTTCGCAAAGCCTCTCTCCTACATGATGCAGCCTCCTTCCCCAGCCTACCTCTGCACTTTGCTTTTAGCGCTCCAACAACCTTCTTGTGCAAGCAGCCCGTTGTGGCTGTGATTCTGCCAGTATGGAAAAGTGCTGAGAGGAGCCTTGTTCATTTAAATGTGTGCAACCACAGCTCATGCTTTTACAGCATATGTTCAGTGAAGCAATGCCTTTATCTACAATACTTAGCCTTTATCTAACATCTTTTCAATCTAAAGCTTTTTTTGAAACGCAGATTAAGTAATAACAACGTAGGATAATTGAGTGCATTTTTTCACAGTGACATAATGATACTTATCTATGGCTACTGAAAAGCAAGGATAATATACTGTGAGTGCTGTATTATCTTGCTTCTGAAGCAGACCAAGTTTGGCATTAGGGCTTAAGTAATTGAAATACGGCTCCTTCTACCAAAACCTATTTGTTTATAATAAAGCTTAATACATCTTTCTAATGGACATTGCAATGTCAGAAGCACTGACATGATTGCTGACTCCTTGTAGCCTGTAAAGATAGTAGTGTCTTGAGTGTGCAGATCATGCCATGTAAGAGCTATGTCTGATGTGTCTCCTGTTACGTGACAGCAAACCCCATCTTGTTGTGAGAGGCACTGACCTTGGGGATTACTGTTTGTAATGTGTGTGAATTTTTTTGGATATCAGGTGAGATGCAGTTCTGAGCATGCTCTGCTGAGCACCATCATGGATTTTTTGTGGGTAATTAGTTATAACACTGCTGTGAGCAGACCTTATAAACCCACTGGGTGATTTTATTTACATAGGAGGCCTGGTAGAATAAAGTGACAGGTTGGCATGATGAGACAAGCTGGACTCCCTCTGAATCTTACAGAGTGAGGAGGAAAATAAATATTA